GTTCTGGGTCTGGAAGGTTCTGGATTTCGAATGTTCTGGGTCTGGAATGTCCTGGCTTTCGAATGTTCTGGGTCTGGAAGGTTCTGGGTCTGGAATGTTCCGGGTCTGGAATGTTCCGGGTCTGGAATGTTCTGGGTCTGGAATGTTCTGGGTCTGGAGTGCCCCTCCTGGTGTTTCTGTCACCTGGGGCTGCAGTAAGGACAGGCCATGAGCTGGGTTGGGGCTCAGAGCCACAGAGGCTTCTCCTCTCACAGCACCACAGGCCGGAAGTGCAAAACTGAGGCGTCCAAGAGCCGCCTCCCCCAGATCCCAGTGGCCCCAGGTGTTCCTGGGCTCTGGCCCCCATGCCACAGCCTCTGCTTCTGTCTTCCCAAGGCCTTCTCCTCCCTCCCAAATCTTCCTCTGCCTCCTTCTCCTCAGGCCCAGCCCACCCCAGGCCAGACCTTGGGCCACCCCTCTGCACTCCAGGTGGCGGAACTCAGGGTGGGGCTGGAGAGGCTGCAGGCAGCCGGGTTATGGGAGGCACCCGCCATGGGGGTGTGGTGGGAGGGAACAGCGGACATGAGCAGCTCAGTGGCCTCAGCCTCAATCCTCCTCCAACCACCGGCCAGTGTTTGCTGGGCTATGGAGCCGGCGATCATGCACTGCTCAGCCCGGGTGTCCGAGGGCTCCGGACAGAGGCAGGGAGGTCAGTGTGTGCGTGACAGGACATCTGACATCTGAGACCGTCAGACCTGCATCTGTGAGCACCGTGCCGTCACAGCCATCCTGCCATGGGCCCCAGCACGCTCAGACCTCACCTTCCACCTCCTGTTTTCCCTTTTGTTGACTGCGTGGTGTTGGGGGGCTCCATGTTGGGGAGCCAGCCCCGAGTGCTGCTGTTACTGCCATTCACAGAAGAAGATACTGAGGTTCAGGCACACAGCAGGCTCTGCTGAGCCTATGGGGCAGAGGCTGATGAACTGGAGATGTGAGGATCTAGCTGCTGTGAAGTCAGATGGACTGTGGAGTCCAGGCCCAGGCTCGGAGGGCAGCTTGCCCGGGAGCCGCTGCTGGGTTCATCATGGCGGGAAACCAGCAGCACCGCAAGGGGATGGGGTGGCCAGCGTGTGGACAGCTCCATGAGGGACGGTTTACGGAGGTCTGGCAGAAGCGGGATAGTGCAGAGCTCTGGGGCCGGAGGGTGAGGAGGGTGGAGAAGCCAGGAGAGGAGGGCAGAGGGGGCATCCGCAGAGGCACAAAGTTCTCAGGAAAGTGGACAGCAGGACAACACCCGACCTCCCCCCGCCATCTCCCCACTGGACGCTCCACTGGGGCAGAGCAGGGGCAGGGGCGCCACACCCCCCGGCGTGTCCTCACTGCCAGGTGCAGCCAGCTTTCCCGGCCCAGTAAGTGCCCCTTGTCCCTCCCAGTCCGCATGGCGCTGCCTCCCTGGGGCCTCAGTGGTTGCTGGAATGCTCTGCTCCTTCCCCAGATCAGCCTATCCCGCACACACAAAGAGAGCAACCAGCCACGTCCTCCTGTCCAGTAGGAAGGCCTCAATTCAGCACCTAGGAGGCCAGGGGTGGTGCCTAGGGTCAGGGTGCTATCCGGGCCACCTTCCTGGAGGAAGTGGTCCCATGGGGGCGGCTCAAGGAGGCCACTCTTCAGGCAAAGACGACTTTCACTTCTCACCACACTCGGACTGAGAAGCACCTGCCTGGGCGCTGGGCAGGGGCTTTCCAGCACTTTCACTTCCCTGAATGCAGCTGACCAGGGAGGCGCAGGCAGGAACAGCGGCCCCAGGGAGAGGCCACTGGTCACAGCTGAGCCAGGACTCCCTGGCGAGTGCTCCTCCTAGGAGATGTCGGCCAGGGACAGATGGGGAGAAGGGAAAAGAGGGGCCTATCTGAGCACCGCCCACCCACCCTTTGAAGGAACTCTGGCCAGGAGGTG